GCAGTGTCAGAGATGGCGTTGGTTGGAGGACCGAGGGCCAGCCCCTTTTTGAATGGATTAGATACAAGAGGATAAAGCTTTCTAAATAGAAGAAAAAGATCAGATTTGCCCTTGCAACTCTCCAAAGATGTCTCTGTACTCTTTGCTTTCTTTCCTCCTATGTCAGGTAATGGAATGTATGTCTCTGTTGTTCTGCAGTTTCTGGTGTAGGTTTGTGCATTGTCTTATTTCTAAAGTGTATGCATTGTCTTATATTGGATTAAACTCTGTAATTCTGTGACGTCAACACGCAATGTTGGTTTTATTACCAAACGCAGCTCGCCGAGTGGACCTGGGGAAGGGAAGAATCAGAAGCCAATCTTTTTCCAAAGTTAACTATGTTAGAATATTTTCTTCCTTTACAGTAGCAAACTGCAGAAACCACTTTACATTGTGTTCACCTTAGACCTGCAACACTTTTAACACATTATGGCATCAGAAATGTAATACAACTCAAAACATCCCATCACGTTTTGCTTCAGCTTCAGAAAGTCTGGCTAATGTGAGTCAATGTATCTTTTTTTTTTTTTTTTTTTTTTAAGTAGAGTGGCAAGAAATTCTTTGCACATGTCCAGACGGGATCCACAAATGGATTTAAACATTCCAGAGATTCAAGAGTGGTCAGATCACGCCTGATCTAAAAAGTAGGACCCAAAACAGTTTACAATCACAACTCTATGGGAAAAAAAGTTGGAGTGACGTGATAAAATAGTGACACAAACGAAACTTATTTGAGGTATTTTCAACAACTAAAAGGGTCAACGTTCAGCCTAAAACGATCCATTTGAGGATTTCTGAGAGCAAACTATGTATAAATTACATGTATAAAATTAATAAACAGAATTCAGGTCGAGTTGCTCAGAAGACCATGGCCCATGTGTTTAAGATGTTAATTGACGAGGTAAGAGCGTGCAGACCACACAGTGGTGTGGTCTCCACGTCTAAAACAAGAAGGAAAAAACTCCGTCTAGTCTTCCATTATTTTACAAAATAAAAATTAAGCTTGCGTTAGCCCAAAGGTAGGGCTGGATAAATAACTGCATGGAGGCACTTACTTTTTGATCACATTACATATAACGAAAGAAATAAACTTTCTCACTCCAGACAGTTAAAGTGGGTTTGCTCCCACACATAAGAAAAGAGAACGCTGCACCTGGCACGCAGATCCATGCAACAAGCAAGCACTTCACCACACAACAGTGAAGTCCTGCGATAACAATGCAACCCTGGAGCCTTACATGCATACGTTTGTGATTGCAGCAGGGAGAAGTCAAAATAAAAATTGTGATATTGATTTTTAGCAAATGGTGCGGCTCTAGCTTCAGGTCAATTTGCTCCTTCTACCCCCCCATGCCCACCCCCCAGCCTCATTCTTTCTTCTTTGGGTTCATTTCCCTTTTCCGTTTTGTACACATGTATTTAAAGAAAATGTGAAAACATACCTAAAACATTCATTTCAGAAGGTTTTCTACTACAGCTTGATTAAGCTAGGTGGTCTATAAATGTAACTCCGTTTTTCAATCAACGTTTATACAGGACAGATTATTGGACATTGTGTCCTTCTGCTCCTTGTAGCACAACACAGGGAACAAACTGGTTTTAAATGCTTGGTTATTCCAGTCGTCTGCTCCCGGTGGCCAGCTTGTAGTCCGCTACTTTACACAAACATTTGCATCATAACTGCTCTGCTGTTTCAGAAGGTTCTTATCCAAATAAAAGTGATGGGTGATGCCCGTTTCATTTCAACATGACTGTATTTTTTTTTTTTACAACCTTAGCTAGTTCCAAACTATAACCTAAATTAGAAATCTGATATGCCCATAACTAGAGGTGATCTGATTGATTCCCTGTCAACTAGGCTGTTATTCCTCAATACAATACAAAATCGTACTCTTAATGATACTGTTGTGTTAAAAATATAAAAAATTTGAATGTTCAGCAGCCTCTTATTTTGTATCTTCATTTTAGTCATCGAAACTCATCACTTTAGATGATCATGTTCACATCTAGACGCGAAACACCAGAGTTGACTAAGCACAACCAGAAGTAAATAAGTAAGAGCCATGTGCAAAGCCCGGTTAGTTAAAGGAGCTCTCAGAAAAAAACCCTGGGTATGATGGTTGTTCTTGACTTTAAAGGTTTGGATTTCAAACATCTCAGCCTAATGTTGCAAACATTTCTCATCCTCCTTGTATGTTCTAACAAACGGCAGAGCGAACCAGTTGGTATCTGTGCTGCTTTGCATCACAAAAGTCCTGATTTTGAATGTCACCTCAGGTCTCTGCATGGATTTTGGACGTTTTCCCTGTGCGTCTGTGGGATCTCCACAGGTACTACAGATTTCCTCTAACAGCCCGAGGGTTAAGTTAATTGGTTTCTCTAAATTCTCCTCTGGTATATGATACTTGGTTTGTCCTGCATGTCCGTGTTGCCTTAGGATGGAGTGGCAACTTAACTGCTGGGTATTGGCATAAGCACCCTCACAAACATGCAAAGACAAATGGCTATAGACTATGGGTGGAGAAATAACCAACATCCCATATTTGCATTGCATGAATTTCTCTCTTTCCACAGAACTTAGATTGAAATTTTCTTTAATTCAGATTATTATTTTTCAAGTTCTATATTAATTTTATTCTCATTGCTATGGTAGGTTGTTACCAGTAATATTTATTTATGTGGGTTTATCTGTTCAAGCACCCTAAAAGAAATAAAATCCTAAGCATCTTGCCTTACAGCCATTGGGGTGGGAAACCAATTCAAAGAAAGCAGAGCTTGTATTCCAGCCGAAGACAAAAGAACCACTCTGCTGCTGCTGCTGTTGTTTGACAGAAGGCTCTATGATGTAATCCAATACAGTGTGTTCAGTTAAATGCAGTACAAATAAAAAAAAAAAAAAATAAATAAAAAAAAATAATATATATATATATATATATCCTAAAAAGGTAAGAGAGCACAAAAATGTCTTAAAGAAAATGCACTCTAACTATTACTCATATTTTGGTCATAGAACGTGTCATAAGTTCTATGGTACTCAAGACCTCCATTATTTGTTGGAGATCAAGTCCACGGCTGAAATGATTAATCCATGGTTAAAATAATCCTCAACTAATCTGGTAATCAAATCGTTACCTAGAAAATAACAGACTATAAAAAAAAGACCACGTGTTGAAAAAATAAACTCAATTAGAGCAGCAATAAAGAGAAAAAAAGTCTACCAATAGACATTTTCATTATTAGCTTTTTTGCCATTTCAAAATACATTAAACGTGCACAGTAAAAGCTTTTTCACAATTCCTTTTTTTTTTATTAATAAATGATAATTCAAACGCAGACATTCGAGTTTTTTGTTTCTATGGTTTAAAAACTTTTTGGAAATTAACTATTTTGTGATTTGTAGTACTGACTTTCTATATGTTTTAATGCTAACTCTACAGAAAATACTGTGTCTGCCACAAGCAGGCAGTGGGAAAGAATTTATAGTTAAGAACCAAAATAAATAATTTTATATTGGTATTCCCAATATTTCTTTTATCCTTTTTCCTTTGGATAGGAACAGTCAGCACGAAACTTTTTTTTTTTTTTTTGCACACATACCAACTGGAAAGACCACAACAGATGACTGAGTTTTTAAACATTTTAGATTTACAAATGATTTCATAATGAGAGCTTAAATTAAAAAAAATATATTGGTACACCACTACTATGTAAATTAAACACCAAAGAAAACCCCAGAGCTTTAATTTAATGGTGCCTGAACCAAGATACACAAGCATGCTAATATTTCACCCCTTAATAAGAATTCTTCCATTTATTTCCTTATTTATTTTGAATGAAGATTTAAAAAAAATAAGAATAGGATTCTCATAATTGTCCGAGTGAAATGTATGAAAAGGAGCCGTTAGATGTTCCTGGTGTTTTCTAAATTAAGTAAATGAAATCCAAATCATTTAATTCAAATTGACATCATTGCAGGTTTTATTCACAGCTCAAATCTTAATCAATGCAACTATTTGCTTACTATTCAACCGTGTACAAAAATCCTATGCAATATTTCCCTTTTCTCTCTTTTTTGACTTAAACACATGCTTTGTTTGAGCCTATAGTTTAGTGATTCAGCACATACACAGAAAAATGCACATGCTCATCTTTGTGGTGGGATTACAGTGCTTTAAAAAAATAAAAAAATAAATAAAAAAAGCTGGGCTGTTCTCTCTGATTGTTCTCCCTTAATAAATGTCACCATGTTTCAGCATTTGTGTCTCCACATAATGAGCACTTTGACAGTCAGTATAATGCTTCTAAGTTGCTTTTTTTTTTTTTTTTTTTTTTAAACCTACCCCCTCATACCTTCATACAATAAAATAAAAAAGTGGTTTATAGAGCAGTGTGTGTAGAACATTCCCCATAACTGCTATGGCTTTTGCAGGTTTTGAAGTATTTTAACCCTTGTGGAAACTTTGCTTGTACTAGAAAATCCCCTTGAGATCCTCCCACAACACATTTTTCAGGCACATTATGCAACATCTAAACCTGCACAGGTAGCATGAGTGGGAACATGTTCAACTTGACTGAATGCGAATTAAATCTGCATATCAAAACTTAGCAACACATTATAGTTTCTAAACTAGTCCAAACATAAAGAGCTCGATCCTGCACAGAGTGACATGTCTAATATAAATCTTACAGGTATTCACTTTAAGTGAATGTCAAAAGTTTGTGGATTAAAATCAGTAAATCTACTTTCTTGAGGCTAAACCTTCCTGGGTAAAGTGTGAGACTCTCTGGAGGTTAAAAAACTGTGATTTAATCTGTTTGGCTAAACAAACGGCTCGAGCGCTGCCTGCTAGCTAGTGCATGACAAGTTGTATTGAACAGATTTTTTTTTCCAAATAGAAAAAAAGGAAAGAAAAAAAGAACCGGTTCGATGGTTAAATGGAAACTTTAAAAGTAAAACTCACCACACCATGCCGTAGGCTCCTTCCCCGATGTAGGAGAGGTTGCTGTACCGAGGCCCGACGTCGAAGGCCTGTCCGCGGACCAGCTCGGTTCCTGGGCCGGGGCTGGGGCCGCAGCCAGCAGGGGCAGACACCGCAGCTGTCGCCATTATGAGGATTGGCTTTTCTACCGAAGCGTTCGGATAAAACAAGAGCGAATTAAAGTCGACGTAAAGCTGCTCTGTGTTTGTGTTGTTTTTTCTGTTCCTGTATCCGCAGTGACTGTAGAAGGGTTTGGAAAGAGGTGGGAGGCCTTTCGATACCAAGTGGGTTTTTTTCTCCTTTTCTGTTAGCGCTCGATCGAAGCGACCACACCGCTGCTGAGCTGAGGCAGGCGGGGAGGCAGGAGCGACCAGCCGAGGAGAGGAGAGAAGGAGAGGAGAGGCTGCTGCAGGAAATAACACAGCAGGTCATGTGACCAACTTTTCCTTTTTTTTCCCTCCTCCATGCTGAGAAGAACACGTTTCATTTAATATGATGTCTTGGTCCCCCATACATAATTTTTTAGTAAACACAAATCACAAATTATAATTATTATTTGAATAGAAACTCATTTTATTGTCCTACAGGAGGGGAATCTGGTGTTACAGCAGCAAGAAGATTATAGAAAAACGATCACAGAAATGCACGGAAGAGGATTAGGGCCACTGATAAAAAAAAAAAAAGTTGATTGATTTTTAAATACAATAATATGGGGAAAAAGTCAGAATTTCTGACTTTAATCTCAGAACTCTGACTTTAATTTTAGAACCCTGGCTTTAATCTCTGAATTCTGACTTTAATCTCAGAACTCTGAATGTAATCTCAGAACTCTGACTTTAATTTCAGAACTCTGAATTTGATCTCAGATCTCTGACTTTAATCTCAGAATTCCAACTTTAATCTCAGAATTCTGATGTTTTTCTCAGAATTCTGGCGTTAATCTCACAACTCTCATTCTAATCTCATAATTCTGACTTTAATCTCAGAATTCTGACTTTAGTCTCAGAACTTTGACTTTAATCCCAGAATTCTGACTTTTTTCTTTTTTTATAAACTGTACTGTAAAGTGTTTTAACAATAGAAATACTAGTGTTTCGCTGATGCCATTTTTTTGTCCCGATACCTGGCTGTGCAGTATCGGCCGATACCATACTGTTTGAAATTGATGTGTGTGTGTGCGTATATGAACAACTGCACAATACTTGGATGTGAAATAATTGCCTTCATGGCTTTGTCAAGCTGCTGCCTACCTTTGTGAAGCAGGAAAAAAGACTAACACAAAGTGAATCCAGTAGAACCTTTTATTCCCTACCTGGAATGGGTGACAATAGTTGAATAAACTTTTGGCTCTCAAAATGGTATTAGTGCCCTATTTGTTGATACTCGCTGATACGATACCAGTGCTGGATCAGGGCCCTGTCCGATACTGGTATCGGTATCGGTGCAACACAGTGTTGGTGCAAAACAAATAAATACTGTGCACCTGGAGAATAAATAACCAATATACAGCTATGGACATTTTTACAGTAATTGATATTTGAAAATAGCAGCAACATTAGAGATATGCTAACTTCAAAATCAGCATGAATCTAACAATTTATTGAGGTTGTTGGGAACAGTGGTGGTTATAAAGTCTAACAGCTGCTGAGAGGAAGGATCTGTGATAGCGCTCCCTGGTGCATTTAGGGTGCAGCAGTCTGTCACTGATGGAGCTCTCCAGTTCTGCAATCTTAAGTTCAGCATTTACTAATATTACATTCTGAGTTGTTCTAGGAGACACCAATAATAAAACATTAATGCATATCTGATTATCATTAAAAATAAAATCATCAAATTCAAATAGAAATTTTTCTCTTTTCTAAAAACAGACAACTCCTAGACATATATGTTAACTGTTTTTTTGTTTTTTTGCAATGAATATAAAATAACAGAAACAGCAAAAATAAATTTTTCCACACTTTACAAGCCTTTGGAGCTAATTAAGAGCTTAATCTTGTGACGTCATTGTTATTAAAGAAATAGTACACCCAAAACATGATTAGCCTTCATTTTCTACTCACCCCCATGCTGAACAACACCCTGGAGTACTTTTTTGATATCTCAAATGCATCTGGAGATCTGGGAGGCTTCTTGCTGTCTGCTGACATTCAAATTAGTGATGTCCCGATCCAGGTTTTTGCACTTCCGATCCGATACCGATATTGTTTTTGGACTTCCGATCCGATACCGATACTGGCCGATACCAGCCTATCCGAGCATGTATTTAAGTTTAAGTTAAAGTATTTAGCCTTAGTTGTAAGACTCATGTTGAAAAGGGTTTTAGTACTCTTGATAACATCTAGCCAGCTAAATTAGGTGAGATTGAATAAAACACAATGCTTGGTAACAACAAACTTACCTGTTTATTAAGAGATAAACACAAACTGGACAAAATTATGAATAGCAATCTGAAATTGCACAGTGAACAGTAAAACCGTAAACAGTTAAAGGTGCAAGTATTACTGTAAGTTTTAATAAAAATGCAAAACAGGGAAACACTGGCGCAAAATAGTGGAATGGATCGTTTCAATCAGCGAAACTGGAAAATACGGACCGGATAAAAAAAAAAAAACTGGATCGGCAGTCTGGATCGGCATTTTACATGCTTTGCCGATACGCATTTTTTTGCCAATATCGGCGTCCCGATCCGATACGTGGATCGGATCGTGACAAGCCTAATTCAAATAATGGAGGTCTACGGTGCCCGAGGCAGAAAGGTCCATAAAAGTCCACAAAAAACGTGTCAATATTCCTCCATACTGGTCGTCCAATGTATTCCAAGTGTCCTGAGTGGGTAGCGTCCATAATTTACTCGAAACAAAGTCATTTAGAATGTTTTTAGAGCATAAACAGTAGTGTATAGGATTTCCTAAAAGCGCCTTCACCTACGGAAACCGCGGCAGACCAAACCAGACGAAAGTGCGCATTCAGCTCGGCAAAGAACTCATGCTCTTCCTCAACACTGAAGTCCTCAGACATTTTTCTTTCGTTGTTTCTTTCTTTGCACAGGTAAACAGCACATTTCTTCTTCTACGCTTGCATTATCGGCAGAGCAGACGCTGAATGCGCACTTTCGTCTGGTTTGGTCTGCCGCGGTTTCCGTAGACTCGTGAACGCGCTTTTAGGAAATCCTATACACTACTGTTTATGCTCTAAAAACATTCTAAATTACTTCGTTTCGAGTAAATTATGGACGCTACCCACTCAGGACACTTGGAATACATTGGACGAGCAGTATATTGACACGTTTTTTGTGGACTTTTATGGACCTTTCTGCCTCGGGCGCTATGGACCTCCATTATTTGAATGTCAGCAGACAGCAAGAAGCCTCCCAGATCTCCAGATGCCTTTGAGATATCAAAAAAGTACTCCAGAGTGTTGTTCAGCATGGGGGTGAGTAGAAAATGAAGGCTAATCATGTTTTGGGTGTACTATTCTTTAACAATAAATGTGAGAGCTTTGCACATCGTGAAAAAAAGAGAAATAAAGAAATATTTTATCTATTTTTTTTGGTTTTAAGGTTTCTTTTAGAAAGAAAAAAGGAGGTTTAAATTTGAATCACTTTAGGATTAAAGACAGAATGATAAAAAAAATTATGAAAGATTTATCAACAATAAAGTTAGCCATTCCTTATGTACATAAGTTTGAAATGTTACAGTAAAATATACTTTTGTAACAAATGATTTTAGCATATGAGCACCCTTTGGACGCAAACTTGATATGCAACACCAAACTAGTCAAGGAATAAAGTATTAGTTCAGTATTATATAATAGTTCAGTGTTCTACTTTTTCTTTAGGAAAGTATTTACCTTTTGATCTTCATACTTTGAAGATTTTAGACTTGATGCAAAAAAACACCTGTAAAGTGTATGCTACACACAGGGCCTCTACTGGCCCTGAAAATATCTTCGTGTGGCTATTTTAATTTAACCTATCATCTACCTACTTATTTTTGTTTTTTTTTACTACACAGTCATGATAGAAACCATATGTTACAAAAGCCTGCACTAAACTTTTCACAGTATGTATATTATTCTCCACGAAGGTCTCTGATATTAGAAGCTCTTATCTGCAGATTTCGGATTCTTGTCTTCACAATGTTTACTTATAACTTCATGTAGTGTTACCATTCATTTTTTTACAACTTTAAACTTAAAAATTATTGGGCGTATAAAAAAATGCTCAAAAATTAATCTTTGTGATATTATCAAATAGGTCTCTGGATTTCACTTGTATTTTAATGCATTACTGTTTTTAATAATTAATAGGATATTTTGAGTGTAAAATTTGAAATTAGAATTCTCAGAGCTAAACAGGTTGCAAAATGTACAACTTGAATAGATTTGACTTTAGATTTAGACAAACTTTATTACAGTGCCTACAGCTTACAACAGTGAAATAAATCTTACCATTGTAAGTGGTAATGTATATTAAGTGCAGCAGTAATCAAAATGTAAAAAAATGTAGGAGAAAAGGAACCCAGTTTAAAAAAAATAATGGTGCAAAAGGACTTTAATATGGAAGTGCAGTGCAAAATAAATATGGTGCAAAATGCAGTAGAACATTAAGTTGTCCTTTTTAAAAGTATTATAACAGTTCAGCGATGTATCAGTATGATGGCAGCGGGAAAAAAGCTCTTGCAGAATCTTCTGGATCTGCAGTGGATGCAGCGAAGCCTCTTCCCAGAACACCTTTAGTTCTTCTGGTGACATAATTTAGTGATCCCAAAGAATTTAAAGAGAAGATTGCAGACACAATACAAAAATATGAAGCTATAAAAAGTTTGCGATTGAAACTTCACTATAGAGCAATAAACTAGCATAAAAAACATGCCTGAAATTTACAAAAACAACAAAAATAAATCCATGAAATTATTACAAGAGTTCGAAACCCACTCCCACAGCCTCCACTCTGGGTCCCTGAGCAAGATCCTTAACCCCACACTGCTCCCCGGGCCCTGCACAGTTAATTTCTCCACTGTGAGATCCATAAAGTTCAGTTTATTTATTTTTTCAATTTATTTCCACCTGAAGGTAATATTCTGTGTATATTTTAAAACTCTGCTTGTGAAAACCTTTGATAAAGTGGACTTTGATAAAGACTTAGCAACTGTGCAAATGTGCAGAAATGTTAAATGTATGACAAATCTATAAAATAGTGAATTCAGTACTCTTGTATGTTAAATAATTCCTACTGTGTATTAGATCCGGGTAATACGTTCCCCTTCATTTTATCATATATCAAATACAAACACACTATGTCAACAGACACTAGTCAAGTACATGTGTATATTTTTGGAGGAAATGTGAAATGTTTAAGAGGTTAGGTTATGTATTTTGAACAGAAACAAAATATCAGGACACACCTTTTT